GTTTTTCAGGAAGTTGCAAGAGCGCGCGAGCGCTGACCCTCTTTTAAAACTGATGTTTTTTTCCGGGCTGCCGTTGTATTCAAATCCGTGCGACATCTGAGGTGTTGGGGAGTTTTGGGCATGCGCTCCCGACGACTCCCGCGCGCGCGCGCTTCGTCCCATCTTACGCATGGGGTTCTTGGGACAACGTGCGCGTAAGGGCGTTCAAATGATTCTGACATGCACGTGAGGAAGGCCCGTTAGGTCGAATCCGATGAACATGTGGAAAACACTGTTTTGGGTGTGAAACACTTAAGGACCCGAACGCAGAGTTGTTGCAAGATCTTGTTTCGAAACTTCTTGTGTTTTATATGTTCGGGGCACCCGGTCTTGAAATCCATGGGAGCCTACAGTTTTTGTAAGATTCCTGCACGCGCGCGCGACGACGCGCGTGCGTTGATTTGTCACCTTTTCGCAGTGGGTATTTGGACACGGATGGTTTTTGAGAAACGAGTGTGCGCGTATATTTCTCTGCGCAGGATGAGGGGGGCGATACGCGCCTGCCCGAGGTGGTCTGAATTCGTACTTCGGGTGGACGATGGGCAGATTCACGCGCGCATCCAGGCACAAAAAGCGAACGATGACTCCGGGGCGAGAATCTGTCAATCTTGTTTCAGATATAGGTAATAGATGGTGTGCAGTCTATGTTGTGCAACGTAGGTTGTGCAATCTATGTGGTGCCATCGGGGTTAGTGCCGTACTTGCTGCGGCGACGAGGCGGCGACGGGGCGGCGACGACGGCCACATAACCGCGAGAGGGATCACGCGGCCCAGACGGCGGGCGGTGACGTGGCGGCGGCGGGGCGGCGGCGGCGGCCACACGGTTGCAGACCGAAGACACGGCCCAGACGACGGGCGGCGACGAAGCGGCGACGGGGCGGCGACGGCGGCCGCAGCCGCCAGACCGAAGTCACGGCCCAGTGCTTGAGAACACGAGAGGGAACCTTTGAGTGCAAGCTCTGTTTGGGGAGTCTATGTGTGTGTATGTATACATATGACATGTTGCACCACATCTATTGCACAACATCTATCGCACCACATCGATGGCACCCCGCACATTGCACAACATGGGTTGCATCCCATTTCATTGCACCACAAGAAAACGCTCCGATTATATAACCACTCACTGCGTGGAGCTCCCCATCTGTACATTATATGCATGGACCTTTCCGCCGTGAGTGCCTAGGCGCAGGGTTTTCGAATACAAACGGGGATGAGTATTGACAAGACGGGAGTATATATACTTGTGAATGAGTTGAAGTGTGAATGAGTCTTAGTGGTACGGGTAATTCAACGTGCATGGGTCTGAGCATGTCTAAGCTTGGGATGGATGTACTTGCGTGCCAGAGGCTTGATTACGGCTCAGCGTGACTGAGTCGAACTGGCAATTGGGTTGCTCATGCAACCGCCGTGCGCAACCCTTGCGCCTTGTGGGCTGGTCCAGAAGATTCCACGGATTGGCTGGACCGTGATACAGCCAGCCGCGCCACGGAGAGGAGAGGCCCAATCTATAGGAGCACACAGACAACACAGGATAGGAACCACCGGAGAGGGGCAATGTATAGGAACATAAGTAGGACACCGAGGGTTCGTGCAACAGGAGAGGCCCAATATGTAAGAGCGTGCGGAAACATTCGGGATTGGAGAGGGGCACTCTATAGGAACAGTATAGGAACAGACATAAAATGCAACGGACCACCGCCCCAGGAGGAGCCCAATCTATAAGAACATACTCGAAACACCTAGGACATGAGCTACTGTACACACCAGGCAGCCCGTGCAGCACGAGCCGATCCCGCCGCCAAGAAGGCGAGAGCCGCAAAATGCGGCCAGGAGGCTCCGCAGACAGCGGCCTCCAAGTTGCAGCGCGCTCGCCACGCTGCCTGGGTGTGCGCCGTCAGGTGAGGCGGCCACGCGAGCCACCATCCACCCCGTGCCGAGCCTGAAAAGGCCCAGACCACCGTAGGCACTCCCCAGCTCACACGGCGCTGGCGGGCCTCCAGCTCACGGACTCCAGCATCTGCCGAAGCTGCACGCTGAGCTGAGGCCCGTAGCCAGGCGCCTGCCGAAGGAGGCAGTCGGCACGCTCGAAGACCTCCCCAGGGCCTTCCGAGGCAGCAGCTCCGCCGCCAGCAGGCGCCGCTCCCGCGAGCGCCGTGCCCAGCTCCGCCGCCGCCCCCGCCGCCTCCGCCTGCGCCTTCGCCCGTGCGCGCCTCGGCCCACGCCGCCGTGGCTCGGCACCGCCAGCCAGGCCGGCGCGCTCGAGGCCGCACGCAGCAGCTCCAGCAGCACCTCCCGCTCCGCGAGCGAGATCCGCCGCTTCCGCCGCCGCCGCCCCGCCCGGGGCCCTCGCAAGGGTCAGCGCCGCGCCCGCGGGAGCGGCCGCCGCGGCGGCCAAGCCAGAGCCCGTGCCGCCCGCGCCAGCAGCCGCCGCCTCCGCGACCCACCTGCCCTCGCGCCCCCGCCCAGGCCGCCGCCGCCCGCCGACAGGCAGGCTGTCAGCCCAGGAGTCGTCGACCAACGAGGCGAGGTCTTCGTCGTCGGCGCCGTCGACCGCCATCGCCGTGGGCAGCAGGGCGAGCCCCAGGCCCGCACCAGTACTGCCAGCACCAGCCGTCGTCACGTCGCCGTCGGTGTTTACCTGCTGCTTGCGAGCCGCGCGCGCCGCGCGGCGGCGCCGACGCCGCGCCCGCTTCGCCTCCGCGGAGGCACCAGCTGGGCGAGCGGCATCGCCAACGGCATCAGCAGCATGATCGTCACGTCGGCCGTCTGCAGCGTGCGCTTGCGTCGTCGGCCGCGCCGCGAACGCGGCGGCCGAGACTGCTGAGCGCGCCACTGCGGCGACCGTGCGGCGCGGCGCGCCGCCGTCCACAGCGCCGCGGACCGCCGCGCGCACCAGCAGCGCGAGGTCGTCGGCGGCCGTGCCAGCCCCTCTAGCCGCGCGCAGGCCAGCCATCCCGAGGCGGGAGGCCGAGGCGGCGCGGCATGCGAACGCTTGAGCCAAAATGTGGACATGAGCTACATAATGGGGGCATTCTATAGGAGCATATGTAAACACACACACACACACTAGGATTCGTGCCCAAGGAGAGGCCCAGTGACTGGGCCTCCCATTGGGCACATATGATCCTATAGACTGGGCCCCAGTCTATAGGAACATATGTAAAACACATAGCAGTGGAGCTGGCCTCCTGGGGCCTTCTGGGGCCTCCTGGGGCATCCTTTGGATTCCTGTAATATCCTGAGGCCTGTCTGGGGCCTCCTGGAAATCCTGGGGCCTCCTGGGGCCTCCTGGGGCTTCCTGGGGCTTTTGGGCCTCCTGGGGCCTCCTGGGGCATCCTGGGGCCTCTTTGGGCCTGTTGGGGAGGATTCGTCCCCCAGGAGATGCCCGATCTGTAGGAACAGATGTAAAACACAGCGGATTGGAACCACAGGAAAGTGACACACTATAGGAACATGCTTAAAACATACCAGATTCAGTCACCATCAGAGGCCCAATATCTAGAACAACGCCGGAAACATTAAGGATTGAGGCCATACAGCCCCGAAACGTTCTTTGAAGTTTTCGTTGCCTAGTTTTATGTTGCAACCTATTTGAATACCCATCGTACATTTGTGGACGCTGGTGGGATGGGGGTTTGGTGTGTAAGGGGTGGTGGGGAGGGTGGTGTTTTTGGGGGTGGGAGGGGAGGTGTCGCTGGTGGGGTGTGTGTTCTGTTTTTTTCTTGGTGGGATATTATTGTGTTCCTTTGTGTATTTGGATTTTTGTTTCTTTGCTTTTTTCGTTTTATTTTTTGCTCATTTTTCTTTTTTGGGGTCTCCTGGGGCTTCCTGGAGCCTCGTGGGGCCTCCTGGGGCCTCCTGGGGCCTCCTGAGGCCTCCTGGGGCCTCCTGAGGCCTCCTGCGGCGTCCTGGGGCTTCTGGAAACTCTTGGGGCCTCCTGGGGCCTCCTGGTGCCTTCTGTGACTTCCTGGGGCCTCCTGTGGCCTCCTGGAGCCTCCTCGGGTTTCCTGTGGAGGTTTCGTGACCCAGGGGAGGCCCAATCTATCTGAACACGCGTAAGACGCAGGATTGTTGTTTCGGGAGAGGGGCAAACTATAGGAACACGCGCATCACACAAAGGACCCGTGCCCCAGGAGAGGCCCGAATCTAAAGACGCATACGTCAAACAGATGGATTCACAATCTATAAATACACACAGCGCAGCCGAGGCTGGCCACCAAAACAGGCAAACCGCCAGAGACGTGATGCAGCCTTGGCCACCCTGGTTTGAGAGAACAAGCGCCTAGCCAGAGACATCCTCAACGTCTGCTCCGACAGCTGAGGATGTTGGGCTGGTAAGCTGGCAAACCGCTCGAAACATCTCCGCGATCTGATCACGAACGGAGGAGTGAGGTGCCCCCCCCCCCCTGGCGGCTCCTTGTTTCGGGTGTTGCCAGAAGTGCCCCTGGCCCAAGGTGCCCCCCAGGATCCCCGAGGAGGTCCCCATAGCCTCCAGAGCAGCCCTCACGAGGCCTATGGGGGCCCCAGGGGCTCGAACATGAAGCGACACAGCTGGGGGCACCTTGGGCCAGGGGCACCTCGAGCAGCCCCCGACTCCTAGGTGTGTTGAGGCTAGCGCCTCGCCCGAGGCATCTTCCGAGTCCGCTCTGGACGCAAACCAGTCTGGCCACCAAAGCAGGCACACACCGCCAGAGGCAGTCTTGCAATCTGCCCCCCCTGGGGGTGCGAAGGCAGGCGCCTCGCGTGAAGCGTCCTCGAAGGCTGCTCCGAGCGCGGAGGATGTTGGGTCGGTGAACAGGCACACTGCTCGAGACATCCCCGCAATCTGGGGGTCGAGCGGAGGAGTGACATACCCCCTGGCGGCCACCCAGAGGGTGTTCAGACCAGCGCCTCCCCCGGGACATTCTCAAATGTTGCTCCGTCGTCATCATCATCATCATCAGCATCATCATCTCCGTAGCCATTTGGGTTCAAGTTTGGATCAAGTAGTTTTTCGTTCCAAATATTTTCGCAAGTACCCGAATTCCCAATACATACAGCGTTCCTGCCACCATCTCTTACGCATAGCGTCAACCCATGCATCTTGCCACGATGATCCGCGCGGGCTGCTTGGTGGCCTGCGCTGCCGTGGCGAGCGGGCTCGCGATGCAGCGTCGTTCAGCCCACTCGGTCTTCTTTCTGGGATCTTCTGTGGACAGGTACGCAGTGGCGGATTTCTGTGGGACCGACGGTAAGAAATTTTACAGATTGAGTTGCGTAAACGAGGAACGGGATCTCGCCGTGGGCTATGCCGCTCACCCTGGAGTGGGCATTCATGGTGATTTCCATCCGCCTTTCTGGAACCACACCTATCCCATTGTCGAACATAGCGACGTGTCCAGTAGCCAGGAACTGCGCAAAGGGATCATGGGCATCATGAACATGAAGGGAGAGGAGTTCCCAGACATGATTGTGGTAGAAAGCTCCCTCTGGGATCTTTTCACCTGGGCTTCGTGGGGCGTCAAGAACGTGACGAAAGAGCGTCTGCACCAGTGGGGTCGCCGTGATTTGAAACATCTTATGGCTCGTGTGTCCGAGACGTTCCCTCAAAGCCGCATCGTCTTCAGAACTGCGCCTCGTGTTCACCATTCAGTGTTTCTTAACGTAATTCTCAAGGATGAGTTTCACAAATCCACGACTGTAAGCTATCCGGACGTCGCGGTGGTGTCTGTTAAGGCGATGGATTGGATGAAGCATGAAGTGGATAAGGAGATGCAAAATGGCAAGCTCTACGGCTTGTACGAGGTGGTGGACTATTACAAGATCATGAACGAGCTTATCGAAGAGCGCGGGTTCGTTCCGTCTTTGTGGATGAAGGATGGAACCCATCCGAGCATGGTGGCATCCAGGCGCTACATGAATGCGATACTCCAGCTCATGCAGCTTCCAACGGTGAGCCAGCAGGACTCGGGGAGGCGGGAGAAGGCATACTTCGACGACGTTTCGGATGACAGTGTCTTGTTCCCGTAAGCACTGCGGTGCTGTGGCCGGAGAGGGAGATGTGATGAGGGTGTCGTGGGCAAGAGGATTGAGGGGAAGTAGTTCTTGCCGAAATTCCGAAGCCAGAATTTCGGCCACATTCGCAGGATAACACTGTGGGGGGCTTGCTTACTCGGCGGCGCGTTTGGCAATGCCAGTGGCGTGCATCATCAGCATCATCATCAGCATCATCATCGGCATGATCATCAGCAGCATCATCATCCCCATCCTCATTATCATCATCGCCACCAGCATCATTAACATCATTATCATCCGCATCCTCATCCGCATCATCCTCATCAGCCGCAGATCGCCGTCATCGGCTTTGTCACCAGCATCATCATCATTGTCATAATCATCGTCATCATCGTCAGCAGTGTCAGCGTCATCATCGCCATCAGCATCAGCATCATCACCATCAGCAGCAGTATCATCATCACCACCATTATCATCACCATCGGCATCATCATCGTCACCAGCATCATATCATATCCTTAGCAGTTACCCTGAGGGTGATGGTAAGACTGCGTAATTCAGAGTATCATCATCATCGCCGTCATTGTTGTCAGCATCATCATGGTCATCATCACCAACACCATCATCTTATTCATTATCACCAGCATCATCATCATCATCGTCAGCATCGTCATCGTCATCGCCATCGTCATCGGCATCGGCATTGCCATCATCGTCGTCATCGTTATCGTCATCGTCATCATCGTCGAGCGTGTGAGTCTGCGTGAGGAGAGGGGAAGGAGAGGAACCTGTTTGTGAGGACTCGGCGCGGTCGGAGTGATAACAAGAGACCCATCCTTAGGAATTGGGGGTATCATAATGCTGGGGCATCGCTGTCAAGCATCTTCATCATGATTGGCATTTTCACGTGCATCATTCTGCAATCATCGTGGTCATTCACCGCCTCTGCCTCTTCATTTCTGACGGGAGCGCAGAACATCTTCCGCGTGGAGCCATGAGGGGACGCAGTTGCATGCAGGGTCTGCTCATGCTCCCCGTGGGATGTATATCAAAAACTACATCACCGTAAGTGGAGGGAGAATGCGGCATCTTCACAGGCATCGTTCGCCAACCCAATGGTGTTTTCGTGGCTCGAAAGGGGCCCTTTGCAGCCGTCTTGCGCACGCGACAAGCCATATTCGGTTTTCAGACTCACAGGCGCAGCACGGTTGCAAATGTCATTCACAAAGGATGACGGCGGCGGGGAACATATGAATGATTGTTTGTATCCAGTGACCTTCGGCCCATCCCCCCAGCATGCCTAGGCTGTCGGTAAGAGGACTCTTGGATGCCTGTTGGGGTGTTCTGGGTTCCTGCTGGGCGTCCTCTTGGGCGTCTTTGTGATTCGTCTGATTGTCTCGGCGCCTCTTGGGGGCTTCTGTCGGGGGGGGGAGGCTTGCTGGAGGGCTCGCGGGCTTTCTTCGAAGGAAGGATCTCGGATTACGGTAGAGCCTGTTCGGGCGGCTTGAAGGCCGTCGTTGAGATTTTTTTGGCCGTTTCGGGGCAGCGTCGTCAGTCCAAGAGGGCTTCGACACGGTACAAGCCCTTGAAGACAGCACAAAGATGGCCGTAGGTTTTTGAAAGTGTTGCGGAACGGTAGGATACAGCCGTCCCACGTCACATCATGTCGCATTTATTTTGTTCAGGAGCGTTTTCGATTCTTATGCGGGCTGCCCATGCGTGATGCTTGTAATAGTATCACTGATGGTGATGGTGAGTATCAGAGCGATACTGCGGCTTGCGAGGATTGCCATGAGGGCGATAATGAACATGATGATGGTGGTGATGAGGATGACGATGCTAATGATGATGGTAAGGAGGATGAGGAGGAGGACGAGGAGGAGGATGGTGGTGATGAGGAGATTGAGATAGGAAGCCGTCACATGTGACACCTTTATCCTGCACGCCCCAGGGAATCCTCATGGACTGTCTGTGGACCCTCTTCGGGATTTTCGAGGCCCCTAAGCGCTCCTGTGCGGCAGACCTGGGGGCTTCTAGGGGCCCTCAAGGGCTCTTGGGAGCTCTCTTCGGCTGTTGTGGGGATCTCTTGAGGTCTTCGTGGCCAGCGGGAGTTATCTTCAGGCTGTCGTGTTGCCGTCTGAGGCCTACTAGAGGTCCTCCGTTGCAGTCTCGGGTCCCTTCAGGGGCGCTTTAGGGCCGGCTTGAGGCCCTGTTGAGTCCGTCCTAGGCTGTCCAGGGTCCTTCTTTGGCTGTCCGAAGGCCGTCCTGGAGGCCTTTTTGGCTATCTTGATGCCTTCTCTGGTCGTCGTGGGGCCATCTTGGAGGCTGCTTGGCGACGGAAGCTCGAGAAGGCGAAGATGCGACAAATTTTCAAACACCAAAGTATCAGCTATACTCTTTCGGGCTTTGCTGAAGGCTCCTGTGGCAGGAGCACTCTTTGGCTGTCTTGGAGGCTTCTTGGGCGGGCCTCATGCTATCTAGGGCCATCCTTGGGCCATCTTCGGCCGTCTTGGAGCGCTCTTAGGCCATCTTGACAGTCTTGGTGGTCTGCCTTGGCCGTCCCGGAAGCCATCTCGGGCATCTTGGGCGCCTTGGAGAGCGCCTGGGACGTGTCGGGGCGCCGACAGAGCCTCGGGAAGAAGGGGCGGTGCACGCAACGAGGTGCGGCCCGGGAGGTGGGAGGTCCCTTCGAAGGTTAGAAGAACGCTACCAGACAGGCCCTGGCATTCTGGCATGTCTTTACGTGCCAGGGGGCATGGTGGCGGATCGATGGTGTTTCTCCAGGCCTCCTAGATGGGGTCCAAGTAAAAGGGATCGGAGGATCGCTCCGCATCGCCGATGCATCGGCGATGCGGCTCGATGTGGAGACCGTGTTTCCCCGCGCCTGCGTCGCCGACGCACCGCCGACGTCAGCGATGCATCGCCGATGCATCGCCGATGCATCGCCGATGCATTGGCGATGCGGCGCGATCCTCCGACCCCATCGGCTCGGACCCCATCTAGGAGGCCTCTTAGTTTCGGCTCGGCCCCGTTCAGGCAGACCAGCGACGCCACGCAGATGACCCTCCACGCGCTGAAGAACAAGAGGGCAACGGCCCGCTTATGGGGACGGGAGCGAGCCGGGGGCGCGCGCCGGCCCCGCGCGGAGCTGCCGCGCCCGCCAGTGTGCTTCCAGCCCTCGTGGGCTGCGCGCTCCTCACGGCACAGACTCTCTGCGGCCGGGGCCTGCTCCTCCTCCTCCTCTTACTCCTTTTTGTTCCTCCTCTCCCTCCTCCTCCTCCTCCTCCTCCTCCTCCTCCTCTAGCCCCTGCGCGCTCAGGAAAACTGCAGATCATGGGGCTGGCGAGCCCCGCCTGACCGAAGATATTCTTCGCTGGCGACAGGCCCACCCCACACGCCGTCGTCACACTCACCACTCTTTACATCCCCTCCACGTCTTTTTCTATCTCATGCTTACCTCTGTGCACTGGAATGCGCAGAGTTGTGACGACGCGAGGCTGTTCGACATCAGCGATGAGTTTATGCATGTAGACGTGATCGCGATCACGTCCACGGGCCAGCAGGCCCCAGAGGATCGTTATACTACCATTACCAACCTGCGCCACCACTTTGCACTGCGTTCTTGTTATGCTGTGAGCAAGCATGTGAATAAGTCTTGCGGCGTCGCCCTCCTCCTTCGTAAGAGAACATTCAAACGCAAAGATGTTTTCGACTCGCTCGCAACCCTTGCCGACTTGCAAGGACGGGTTGCTCTCTTCCGACTACGTTCTGGCAGATACGACCTGGTCTTCCCCATCACCTTCTTCCCACCACGACCGAGCGGACGCCGACTGTGTCGTGAATCCCACGCTCCCAATTCTCACGCTCGGTGCCGCTCGACGGTGGATGCGATCTGCCAGTGGATGGAGAAGACAATAACATGGGTTCGGCGCCGCTCCACGGTCATCTGGGGCTACTATCTCAACGATGGCTATGGTCTGCGCATTCGTCCTGGACAGGTGGAGTGTCAGGTGCTCTCAGACTCGCTTGGGATCTTCGCTCGGTCAGAACAGCGCTACGCTGCAGATCAATTCCTGGAACTCATGGAGCGGCACGGTCTGGTGGCGATCACCACCCACCACAATATCGGGCCGACGTATTTCGGGGCCTCGACGAGCAGCACCATCGATTATATCGCCATCGATTCGTCGCTTGTGTCTGATGTGTCCCACTGTGCCGCTCTGCGACGGGCCAATATGCGCCTCAAGTTGTTCGGCAAGCAATGATTGCAGGGCCATGTACCGCTGCTCCTGAAAATCGACTACATGTTCAATGTGAGTGCTGCGGGCCCTGACCCTGTTCGATGGGGCTTCGAGCGCTTGTCACAGGCCCTGCAGAAAAGGCGTCGGGGTTCAGGCTTTCATGGGAGACTTCGAAGCGCAGTTCTCGGCCCAGGGCGACTACCACGATCTCCTCCTGCACGAGCCCGCCCCTGACGGTGCGTGGGGGAAGTGGGTCGCCACAGTTTTCTCCACTGCGGAGCGACACTTCCAGCGTGGGCCCTTCGCGGACCCACAGGCCTTGGAGCATAGTCGACTCCTTAGCCAACATCTTCGTGAAAGAAGGCAAGCTCGGGAGGACGGACGCGGCGCCCTGGCTTCTGCTCTGATGTTGGCAAGGTGATCTACTAACCTTCGGGCGCTTCGACGATCGCGGCAGGAGGAGTCAGTTGCTCAACTTGTTGGCGAGCTGACTCAGGCTTGGCGAGGGCGTCGGCGCGCTGACGTCTGGAGGTTGGCTCATCTGCTCGCTGGGCAGCGCGGAGGCCCAAGCGCCGCCGCTGCAAACTTGCGTCCTCATATGCTCCGCGGATGTCCGAGATTAGGTCGCACTTCCAGCAGGCAGGCCATCAGGGTGGTTTCTCGGTCGTCCCCGTCTCGTTCCCTGACTGCCAGAGGGCGCTGCTGGAGGACTTGCCTGCCCCTGCGATGTTCGGCAGCGACAACTTTGAGCGTATCGAGAAAGGTCGTGGCGACCTCGCTGTCTTGGTGGAGTTGGCCGTGGCCGCTCCTCGGCGGAAGGCGGCCCCGCTGCGCTCGATCCCGTCGGAGCTCATCGGGCTTGTCTTGGACCCGATGCGGCGCTTCGATGGTTCGCGCAGGCGCCCGCGTCGTCGCCGTCGGCGCGAGGGTGGCGTGCGTGCGTGTGTGCGTGTGTGTGT